AACGGCCCCCAACCGCCGCGCAGTCCCGAGGGCGCCATGAGGGGCCCGCGCTGCGCCCCGCTGCTGCTCCTGCTGCTGCTGCCGCCGCTGCTGCTCACGCCCCCCACCGGGGACGCCGCAGTCATCACCGGGGTAAGCGGCCTCCGGCGCACCTGTCCGCCCGGGATGCGCGCCCGCGCTGCGCCCCGGGGGCTCGGGCGCGGGTGGGTGGGTAGCGGCTCGGGGAGGGTCGCCCTGGGCGGGGACACCTGCCCCAGTCGCCCTTTGGCGCTCTGGGAGAGGTGCCCTGCTCCAAAAGCAGCGGACGGCCCGGGACCCTGGGCGCGCCGTGGAAGAAAAAGTGACCGAAGTGTCACCGGCCTCCTTTATCACCAGCTTTTCACCCTTGCTTCCCTCTTAGACCCCTGCAAGCTCTCTCCTCGAGTTTGGTCTGTTTTTCTGTTAAGCTGAAAGAAGTTTGCTTTCAGAGTCTTCGCTAGCACTTTTTCGAGGCGTTCCAACCTCGAACCTTAAAATTTGGGACACCTTTTCTGAAATGCACAGGGGCAAGACGAATATCCCCCAATCCTGAGACTTAATCCTCTGGTCAAGGAGTTTGCTCCCCTTGGACCCTCCGCAGAAACCCCTTGAAATAACTTGGTCCGAGGCCCTGTGTGCCTTTTGAAAGCAGTGTGGGCGCTTCCTTCTGGTTTCCAGGGCTTTTTTTTTCTTTCTTCAGCTTCTTGAGGTTTTCCTTTTAAAAGTTTTCCATTTCCAGTTCCTGATAAAACACCTCCAGTGCTCGAGCATAATTATGGTGTAGGTTACAATGTAGATGTTTGTTTCAACTTAGAGAAGTTGTCCTCATCATTTTTGAAAGTAGGAACTGAGTCCGTTCTCTCCTACTCCCACCAACAATTTTGTGTGTGTGGATCTGAAGGATAAGTTTACAGTAGTCTACTTTACATCAACAGTGCAAAATCCCTACCATTTCCTGGTTGCTCATCTGCTTTACTCTTTTATCTTTTTTTTAAGTCTTAATTTATTTTACACCTCCATTAAATTACTTCAATTATCTAAGGCACACTATGGGATTTTAAATAAGACTTATATGTTTGAACTGATGATACATAATGAAATACTGAAATTTGAGGGAATTCTATCCTTGTCTTGAGAAAACAAAGCTCCATAGTCTCTCAAGTTAGTTCGTAGGTTTATAGCATCTTGAAAGCCCTTGTACAATAACAGTATTTGGTTATATCCAATAGGTATTATAAGCATTGTGGTATTTATAAAATAGAGGTTTTTTCAAAGTGTCTTTGAATAGCTTTGTCAGTCAGTGTGGTTGGAAAAAAAAAAAAACTTTTTACAGGTCTTTCTAATATATGAGTTGGAACATGATTGGGTTTTTTTCCCCCCTCTTCCCCTGCTGGCTCATTTTAAATTTCTCCTAATCCTCTGAGCCCAGAATTCTTTTGCAATATAAGTATCTTTTTGTTCCATTCACAGGACAACACTATTTGAATAGATCTGCAATGGGTTAAGGATGAAGGGCATTGGGAAACAGCGGTCTAATTAAAAATATATAAGCCTATGCGTTTTTTGTAAATATTTCCAATAAGTGATGCTTTTTGTTACAAAAATGAAATTTTATCACATGGGATGTTTATCTGTTGGAGAGGCTTAGAGTGGACTTCTCTATGCTGTTTTAACTCAGTATTACCAAAAGAGAATTTTTAAAAATTTCTCTAAGCAATGTAGCAATAAAGAAATGTAGTTATGTTTTCATGACAGGAACCATCTGGAGCCAAATGAAAAACTTGGTAACTTATTGTCTTCAGGATGTTAAACATCCAAGTGATTAATTGAATTTTTGGAAGATTTTGGCTGGATTTTGATTGTCTTTTAAAAAGGGTTAGTAGGGCTTCAGAATTCGAGGTCTTGAGCATCTGTTGACAGAAAATACTGCCTGAAACCTCCACCTTTTATATATATTTGGTAATAGGTGTAGTTATTTTGAAACTGATTTATGTTCCACATAGATTTGTTAAAATCATATTGGAAAAGATCATGTACTGAACCTCTCATTTATGAAATGTCATGGCCGTGTATACATGATTTCTGGCATACAGCTAAAAATTGAAAAATGGAAATGTTTGGATGTTTTCCTCTGAATGTCCTAATGCCCCAAGGTGAATATTGTATTTTTTCAAATTGTATGTTTTTGTCCATATAGTTGTTTTAAATAGACTGGGAAAAAAACTCTAATGAGGGAAATAAACCAACCCTAAAGCAGGATGGTTGGTAATTTTTACCAAAAAAGCAGTGAATAAGGGTGTGCCCATATATTTATGTTTTGAGAACTTGTGGCTAGCCCCAAAACTTTGAAGAGAAAAACGTGGAAGGAGTGTTTTAGTTGTTTCCAATAAATGTAAAAAATTTAAATTTTTGTCTAAATTATAGACTTTTTAGTTTCTTACATATATAGTACAGCATGTTTTTACCTCATCGCTAGCAAAACAGATTATTACACACCATTCAAACAATGCATCCTATTTTTTGTTAGTCCTAGGAAGGAACAATTGTTCTTCAGATCTATTTTTATGCAAATAAATTTAGACTGCATTATTTATTGCTATTTAGATAGAGTATGAAAACTCCTCCATAGTTGATTCTTTAATTATTTGTATTTACAATTTTTATATTGGGAACAGATGCCTTGAGTAATCATTGTTGATAATTGCATCTGTCATTTGCATTTCTAAATCTGATTAATCTTAAAGAATAGTTCCACCGATTTTGTAATGTACACATGTGCATACCCTAAGCCAATAATTTCCTTTTTGCAGGTTACTCACCCGAAAAAAAAAAAAGTAACCTAAGACAAAAGTCTTGGTTTGTCCATTCCCAACCTATGAAATTTCTTTCTTTAAAGAGGAAATGTGAAAATCAAGTCAGTGGTTTGAGAAACATCAAGTCTCATGAACCAAAATGCAAATATTTGAAAGGGAAAATGAGCACTTTTAAAATTTACATCAGTGCCTTTATGGGTCTGGAGCATTTCATGCCAGATCTAGAGACCATTTAAATCCCTTTTTAAAATTGGGCCCAATGTATTCTGCTGTTAATAGTCATAAAATCTTGTGATTCAATTTATGTAGTTCCTAATGGCCATGTATGGTAAAGACTAATGCAGACTCGTTTTTCAAATTCAAGGCCAATTCAGCCACAAAACACTAGAAAAAGAGGTGATTTTCTGTGTGTGTTTAAGATTTTCATAATGTGTGGGCCATTCTTTAGACCATTTTTTTTAAACTAGGAAAATCTGTTCAGATTTTATGGTAAATATGTGCAAGCAAATGAAGATTACAGTTCTTTTTTATATGTATGATTATTAAAATCCTAGCGGTTGGAGATGTAAAGAGCATTTTTACTGCTAATTTTAGATTTCCTTAGCCCAAGTCTTTTCCGCCATCTATATTTATCTGTTTATTTGTTACATTTCAGGCCTGCGACAAGGACCCCCAGTGTGGTGGAGGCATGTGCTGTGCTGTTAGTATCTGGGTTAAGAGCATAAGGATTTGCACACCTATGGGCAAAGTGGGAGACAGCTGCCATCCGCTGACTCGTAAAGTTAGTATATATATTTGTATTCATGGTGGTTCTCTTATGTTGTGGTAACTCAACTCCAAGCAAGGCCTGTATGACAGGAAACCCAGGCTAATGTGCTTCAAATTATAAGTTAGAGAAGATGACAATGGAAAACTACCTCCTCCCCCCTCTCCCCTACCAGTTTAAAGAACTGGGTCCTCTACCATCCTTATTCTAGTGAATCATTTTCATATCCTTGCTCTCATGACATTAGAAACATTTCAGAAAAATAATTTCAAACACATGAATTTGCCTAAAAATGATTTAGGACAAAAATATATGTGTGTAGTACGGTGTATACTTCTTTGCAGCAATCAGAGTATGGAAGTTCTTGAAAAGACTTTTAATATCAGACCCACTGATAAGGCAGAAGTAAATAACTTTGTGTTTTGTTTCTTGTACAAGATCATCAATGATACAGTTATCCTTGTATCTTAATTTAAAAGTCCTTTATTTTCACTTAATCTACACAATACACTGTTCATAACCGTAGAGGTTAATGATATTTAATTTTCCAACTTATTCGGTTATCTAACAGCTCAGTGTCCCTAAACAACACTTTTGAACAGTTTTGGCAAGAAGTGGCATGACCTTGGGCGCCTGGGTGGCTCAGTTGGTTAAGCGACTGCCTTCGGCTCAGGTCATGATCCTGGAGTCCC